ATGGTTCATGGGGTCACGAAGAGTCGGACATGACTTAACGACTAAACAACAACAACAATCAAGGAACTACCAAGGAGAAATCCATACCCCCACCAAAACTGGCAGGGCAAGGACTGTAAACAAATAGGGAGCAAGCCCCACACTCACACTGATGAGGTTATCTAGTTGGGTAATGAAACATTGGCAAAAAACAACAACCAAGCTTAGACAGCACCAAGGACTCCACAGTTACAACTTAACACCTGGATATCGTGCAACTATGTGACCTAGATTAGAACACCACTATTTTTTCATCTTTCAATGGGTCCACAAGGTATGTTTACGAACTATCTTGCCCTTATGCTGTTGGTATGAGCACTAAGTTTTCTTTGTAACATTTTTTTGTCCTTGGGCACAGATGCTTTTCCAGTTTGGTCTTGACAGGGGCCTATGACCCAATATTTTTAACAGGCAAGGTTTTACTCTTTCCGCTATTCTATCCCACAGCTTCTCTGAGGTGTTCCTCCATAGCACACAAGTTGCCACTGTGCGATCTGAATTTGGTTTTGAAGGTTTTAATACATCTCCCTTCTTGGTGGCCATTACCTTCAAGTAGAAGGCATTTTTTCTCTTCCAGAAGAGACTGTCATGATGAAGAGTTTCATAATTCTGCATATTGATCCTACTTTCATTCCAAAATTAACTTTTAATTCCACAGGAATCAGGAGCTATCCCTGCTTTCATACTGTCCAAAACCCAAGATAGCATTAGTAAAGGAATGACATAAATTAGACAAGTATATAGTAGAGTGATCAAATCTACCTGTGACATCAGGAATTCCAAGTAAGAGATGTTTTTGTTTATACATTTTCAGCAAGCTACCTTCTGCAGTGGCTATTGTTTCCAGAAGGATCAGACTGGAGTAGTCTCACCCCTTTGTGGTTCTATCTAGCATCACATCAGGAATACTTTTAGTTCTTCATCATCTTTCTTAGGCTTTGTAATATTATTTATTTATATGACTTCTATAGCCACCCATCTCAACAAGTGATTCTATTATTGATGTCTATGCCTCAGCTGAGGCTTCGTTTGGTGGATGGGTTCCCCAACAGGTGGTTTCTTCCTCTTAATGGTAGATTTCACCCCCTCTTCCCCAGCTACCTGCCTTTAGGAGCTACTCTGGTATGTCCCACTGTAAGAAGCCCTCCTCCACTGTTGGAAAAAAGTCTCCTGAACGTACAGTGAAAGCTCACCTTCTATAGTGGATAGAAGGCACCTGACTCTCCCTTATCAATACTGAATAATTGGGATAACGTGATTTATTTTTTCATTCTTTTGGCTGGAATTCTCTTCACTTGTCATTAGTGAACTCAGCAGTGGGTACTCCTTCCTCACTGAGAGTTAAAATCTTGATTCTGCCTACTGGGGCAAGGGAGAAGAGGATCACAGGATGCCCTCTCCTGAGTCTTCACAGTAAGGCCAGTCTTCTATTCTCAAAATCGGCCTGTTTTTCAAAACATTTTTTTAACAAACAAGCCAAAATAAACATGCAAAGCCATCATTGAAGCAAATGTGTACTTATTAAGGGGGAAAAAAGATTTTCCACACTACACTGCTATAAAAAATGCTTATCAAATCTGCAAAACTACATGCTGATCTTGATACAAATACATGTTATTCGAACAACGGTGATCATATTTCTATTCTGGGCTTTCTGTTTGAAGTTTAAAGTTTCACTGTACAAAAAAGAAAAAAAATGCAAAACCTTTAGAAGTCTGAAGCATCCCTCTTTTGTATTCTACAGCTCTTTCAAAAGATTGAGTTGAAATTAAAAAAAAAAACTTGTAGAAACGAGGCAAGTAGACTACTGTTTATTTCTGTAAGCATGTCTGAGGAAAATTTAGATGCAATACAGTAAGAAAATAATTCTATGATCCAGGCAGGCAATTTTGGTTTTCAAAATTGAGGTTCTGGAGAAAGAGAATGAGCACTCCAAAACAGGTGAAACCAGAACTTCTGACCAGCTGTCATCAGATGAGAATCCAGATGATAATAATACTGATATAATACAGATATGTACAAAACTCATTGAGCTTTTCAGGGCCACTCCTTAACAGCCACATAGAAATCAGGTAAGCTGCTTTTTCCTTCAGAAAAGAGGAAGTGGTTTCCCTTCTGGCACCTATTTATAACCACAGCCTCCTTCTATGATATCAACCAGAGTCCTCCTGAAAGAAAAGAAAAAAACACATGGGCACAATTGCACAGTGAACTGGCCTGATGTCAAACTGCTGGCACAACTACAACTTGTTACTGGCAAAAAAATGTCTGCTTCAAAAGGGACAAGGCAGGGCTTGCATAAGAGAGAGTACGGTATAGTGATCAAAATATCTCAGCTAGGACTGAGAAGCTGAACCCAGGGATGAAGCTCACTTGGCAACTTGGGCTAGTCTCTGTATCTCTGCTTAATCTAGTTTGCAGGGTTGCTGCCAGATTAAAGTGGGAAGGGCAAAAGGAGAAAGATGATGTATTCTACCTCAAATTCCTGGAGAAAAGCAGGTATGAATTCAAATAAATAAAAGAAAGTAGGCAGAGAAGACTACTCCAGCTAAAACAGTCAATTTCAGTGATGTATTCCAGGTGCTCTGAGCAGTGGCCATCACAGTTACCTACTTGCTGACACTTACCTTTGCCCTTCAGAGAGTTCAAATTCTTCTAGAGTTCTCTTGGCAAGCACTGAAGTTGACTGTATACCGTAGTCAGCAGTCAGCTTTACTAGCTCAAGTGCTTTATCTGCTTGGTTGCTTTGCTTAATGCAGTTGAACACCTCTTTCACTGTCAAATCACTGCAGAAGAGAAAGAGGGATGTGGATAACCCAATGGCATCTAGAATATAGTTTGACTGAAAAACATTCCATCTGCCAAGTTATGACAGTAACTACTGAGAGGTGAGAAATTTCACAGCTCTTTCTGAAACCCAATAGCCCAATACCTATTGCAAATAATACTAAAGGCACCTCTTCTTTGTACCCCAAAGTAATTAGGTGAGTTCTATGAGCAGGGATGAACCTGTCCAGCCTTTTTAAAACAAAACACTGCTTTCCTAAAAAAGCTAAAGTATGGAATCTTATGTACAGATTTGATGAAAAGGACACATCTGCTGACAGGAAAGTTTAACTTGAATCATTCTATTTTTCTGTTCTGGAAAACTGCTAAAATAGCTGTGTGCTACCACCTTCTGATTCTTGAATCTCTGGGTATATAATGGTTGCTGTTTAATTCATCCTATATAAGAACAAATTCAAGGTTTCAAACTGTTGATCCAAGCAAGTGATAGCGCAGCTCAGAAATTAACAATACTGTTAGGAAAGAGTTTTGAAAGAAAAGGACTGTTGTAGATTCCACTTAAATTTTCAGTGCAATGAACCTCAGCCTTCCCTTTACAGAAGACACCATCACTCTGTTCTTTTCTACACTGAACAGTAGACCAAGAAATGGATCTTTTCTCAAGTACTGACAGTAAAAGCTAATTAAATATACTCTCCCTATCTATACATTACTTCTCTGCAATCACCAAAATACAGAAGTCTTCAAAGGCATTAATTAAAGTCTCAGCATTCAAGTAGTGGACTTGAATTTCCACAGAGTGTTTAGAGTGCTTACATGCAATGTAAACACCTTGCATTTTAAGATGCATTCACTGTTGCTTGTCATCTTCAAATCTGACACCAAGAACAAACTGGTCTACAGAGATCGATTCTTACAGAGACTTCATGGCACTAGACCTTATTGCCCCCCAAACTGCAGCAGTTCCTTTGATATCTCTGCTTACTCTTACTAACAAAACCAACAGTGCCTTTGAGGAAATGAGAAGCTGACATTTGGTGACGGAACTGTGCCTGGCACAGGACACTGCATGGCAGAAAGCAACATTCTAATCAAGGGTCAAATGAGACTGAATGCTACTGGGCAAATCAAATCAAAGAGAAAAGTAAAGACTGACATATTTATTACTGGGTCTTCCGAACAAAAGGCAAACTTACCTGGGAACTTGAGAGTATTTTTTAAAAAGCGTTAGCATGTTCCTATTTGGAGATGAAAGAAATAAAAATCACCATTTGAGCACAGAGATGAAAAAAGTATGAGCCAAAGTCCTTCAAGAGGCTTGACTTATATGTAATCCCAAATCTGGTCTTTTGACAAGTGCACTCCTGCTGTATATATGTTATGCAATCAATGAAAAAAGAACTACAACCAATTCTCCAAGGAAATCCAAAATCCCGCCAGGAAATGAATTTTATTTTTTTCTAACTGTGCAGATGGGACATTTGTTTAGTTTTTTAAAAACCCAAAATGAAAACTTATTGAATCAAATAGAATTCTATATAGGAAAAGAAAAAAATGTTCACAGAATATGCAAATTAAATAGTTTTAGCAACAACAGTCCATATACAGTGGAACAAGGGAGGACTGTAAAAGTTAGTTTCTCATTAGGGTTGAGATAAAGATTGGCGCTGCCTTTGGAAACATCTGCAACCACTTCTTCTGCGGCAGTAAAGATGAAACCGGCTGGTAGGTGTGGCAGCAGCATCACTCACATCTCCCCCTTGAAGATGATGACATTTTCCGGCAGCAGAAAAAAAGGCTTTTAACTCATACACCCCACTATTTTACTTCCCACAATGCCTCTATTATCCTGGTAAAAGATTGCCAGTTACAAAGGATTTTCTTTTCCCCGGATGCTACGTACACCTGCCTCTAGTCTAAAAGTGAGGCAAAATAAGTGAGACAGCCAGTCAGTAGCTGTTAAGGTGTTACTCGACTCTTTGGTACAACAGGTTCCATGCCTTTAGTTGTATCCCTCCTCCAGGAGCAGTTTGAGGGAAAGAGAAAACCTAAAGATAGCTAAGGATCTAGATTTCATTATATTCTCTCTCTCTGCCCCTCCCCCCCTCAATGTACTTTGGGGTTTGAGTTTTCAGTTAAGGGCCCTTTAGGGAAAATGTGTCCTCTACTCCTACTCTGAAGAAGGGAGTTGAAGTCAAAGGTTGTAACTATAATTGAGCTAGTAGAGACTTGACTTATCTGGTTCAGGAACCTGGGATAAGTTGGTTTGTTTCAAGATTTACCTCCAGAATGAAATACAAGTTGTTAGATGTAACCCTTTTTTTCTTACCAAGCGTCCTGTGTTCTGCCAGCCCTGGCAAAAAGAATTGTGGTATTATTAAGAGAAGTGTCTTTCCACAAGAGTTGTGTGTTCCTGCTCTTTAACTCATGGAGAGATTTTATATTTTCAGCACAGTCAGCAAATGCAGCTTGAGTCTGAAAAACATTGACATACCAAAGCATCTGCAGTCAACAGAGTAATCTAGGAATGAGCATCACTTAGGATCTGAAGCTAAAGTGGTGCTATGGCAGGGGTAAGTACATCTGCTGTACCAGTCAGTACCTTCCTTGAAGAAGGAGGTACTACCAACCGTGGCCACCACGCACGCCCATACCCACTCCAAAGCATCTACTAAAAATAATTATGACACAACGCCCCCCCCCCCAAAAAAACAGGTCTAAGACAAAAACAAAAACAGCACATCATTTGTAAGTATACTCATTCATACACCCCCTGGTAAAACTTTTAAAATTGAATACCCTTATTTATTTTTGTTATCTCAAAAGGCATTTGTGTATATTGTTGTTAATATAAATAAACATGGAAACTAAATGTGAATAAAACAACCAGGACCAAGACATTTTACTTTTTTGTTAATTTTCAATCAATGTTGTTTTCTATACAGGTAATTCTTGCTTACTGACTGCCTTTTGAATGGTTTAGTGACCGTTCAAAATTACAAAGGAGTAAAAAAAAAAAAAAAAAATTTGCAACCAGTCTTTGCATTTACGATTCTTGCAGCATCCCATGATCATGTGATCACCATTCAGGTGTTTCACAACTGGCTTCTGACAAGCAAAGTTAATAGAGATTACGGAAGTAAAATTGCAAGACACAGTCACATGATATCTTAACAACTGGGGTGATTCATTTAATGACTGAATGGGAAGTGACATCGTAAGCCAGTTGTGGTCACATGATTTTCTGCTTAGCGTCTGCGGGGCTTAGTAACAGAGTTGCTGGTCTCAATTGTGATCGCTATATACCTATAGAGGTAGTCCTCACTTAATGATGGTAATTGGGACAGGAATTTCCATTGCTAAGTGATGCAGTCACAAAGCATGATGTCTCGTGACCACATCGCTTAGCAATGGCAATCCTGGAAGTCCCCATTGCTGTCATTAAGTGAGGATTGCAGGTCATTAAGTGAGCACCTCCTCACATCTTCCTGCTGATTTCCAACAAGTAAAATGGGAAAGCCGGCAGGAAGTCACAAGTCCCAGATGGTTCACAAGCAGGCTGGCCGTAGGTAAGTGGCTACTATGGTGTGAGTGTGGCCAGGCTGGGGGTGGCTGCTGCTGAGTGTGGGAGGGTGCACAGGTGGCTGCCGCACAAGCATGCACTATGGAGTGCGGGTGGATGTGTGCTATGGAGTACAAGACTCCTGGGATTTTGTACTCTGTAGCTGGGCCCCTCGGGAGAAAAAGTGTCAGGAGCAGGACCAACTCACCGGAGCGACTTGCAACCTTCTCTGACAGCTTCCCCATTGACTTTGCTTGTGGGAAGCCACCAGGGGAGGTCAAAAATGGCAATCACGTGAGTGCAGGACTCTGTAACCATTGTTGGTGCAAGCTGGTTGCCAAGTGTGGGAGACAGCCAGGACTTCAAAAACTGGTCATAAGTACCACTTGTTCAACGCCATCGTAACTTAGAATGGTTGCTGATAGAGTGGTTGTTAACCAAGGACTATTTGTACTTTTAATCAAAAGAACACTTTAGTTTTACGATGGTTATCATATGATGGCTAATAAAAAAAGCCACAAAGTCACTTGAGTGAGTGGCCTAGAATGAATTAATGAAGGTTGCTATGAAATTTTCCAATTCTCTCAAAAAATTTAAACCAAAATGACTAACTGAACGGTCACTGCCTTCAAAGTGGATCATACTAAGAGGGGGTGGATGTCTTCAGAATTGTAGTATGTTGTCATTAGTATCTTATTGATACTTAACACTATTTCTCTTTCCCATTTACTTCTGGAGGCAAAGTTAATTATGAACCAGTCATAATTAATTCCTCCATAGATAAACATCTTCTGCTCTTTATCTATAGGCTATATGAAAAGACAGGCCCAAGAGTAAGATGCAATCAGGAAGGGGAGCTTTCTAATTACATTAAAATATCCAGAGGTGTGAAGCAGGGCTGTATATTAGCCTCACTGCTATTAAATATTTACATGAATTCCTTAATTAAAGTACTTCATTCAACAGATATTCATGTCCCTAAACTAGCTGATAGAAGAATCCCAACTGTGAAGTATGAAGATGATGCAATAGTACTCTCCCAAACACAAGGTGGCATGAGGCATGCACTGAACTCTAGCAAGCTATTGTAAAGATGAGTATTTAACTGTTAATTATGATAAAACCAACATTTTAGTTTTCTCAAATAGCAGACAGAAATACAAATGCTCAGTTAATAATAACACAATCAAACAAGTTAACCAGTATAAATATCTATGTTTTGTCTTTCAAAATAACAGGAAAATTACAGCCCAAGCTAGCTATGTTTTCAAAAGCACAGAAGAGCACCAAGGCCAACTTAAGATTTTACAGGATGCAAGGAGGTAAATTTGTCCCTGCCACAGTTAAGCTCTTTCAGACCAACGCAATTGCACAATTGATGTACAGGTAGTCCTCGCTTAACAACCATGCATTCAGCGATTGTTTGAAGTTACAACAACACTGAATGAATGGTATTTACAACTGGTCCTCAAAGTTATGACTGTTGCAGTGCCTTATGGTCATGTGATCAAAATTTGGGCACTTGGCAGCTCGCCTGCATTTACAACCACAGAGTACACGTCAACTCTCCACCAACCTATCTTGTCCCCATTTCTGCCCTTTTGGCCGCCTTGCCCTCCGACATTCCACCACCCCTAGCTGTTCTTCGCCATCTTCTTGCTCCACTGCTGACGAGGTGCGCCTGGCCTGGCTCCCTAATTGTGTACTGTTTTATTGCGAACATGATTACTGCAGTTCCATCAATTGAAACTTAATCCTGCATCATTTTTCTATGTTTTGTTCAAATAAGAAATAGTAAGGGCAGGTTTCCTGGATTCAATTCAAGCACTAGCTAATTTGTGCCATTGGCCTCTGCAATTTTATTTATTTTATTTTATTTATTTATTTATTTTCAAATTTGTATAAGTGTTGATATTTTCCACATCCAAGTCCCATGAAGACTCACCTCTGGAGACTGCATGTCCCTTGCCATAAGAGCCAGAACTTCCTGTACAAGAGGATCTTTGAGGCTAAATCCAAATTGCTTAATATCTAAGCAGGAAAGAAAGTTATCAGAAATAAAGCCATTGCAAGTAGTTTCTGCTCAATGAAATCAGTGACTTTACTACAGCTGATATGTGGATGCTTGATCCTTAAATTTAACTAAGCCTAATTAACCATTATTGTGTGGTCACAAATGCAGGAAAATGTATATACTGTAGGGAAGTTAATATAAAGGGAGAGTAACAAATATGTTGTTTTGATGGACAGTGGCATTATTAAACATCCACTCTAACTAGATCTTTTTTCCTACAATGGGATGTCACTGGGGATAAGCAATGAAGTTTAGAAATTTCACCAACTGCATTAGCAAGCCTGTAATTTGAGCAATAAATCTTCACTCTCACAGGATGAGGCATCATGGTGATAGCTTTCCTGAATCAAACTAGTGACACCAAATTGTGGCTTTGATCGAAATGCATATCCAAATTTTACTGATGCTCAAAGAGGTAAATCTGTCAAATACCAGCTCTTCTCAGTGAATTGGGAAGGTACCTCAATTATCACATTGGAAATAAGAAAAAGCAAAGTGTAATTAACCTTTCCAGATTTGGGGAATCAATTCCAAACAATCGCCAGAGTCCAATGCCTGAAGAAGATACAGCATCGTTCTAATATTGGGGTAAAACACCTGAAGAAAAAGATACACATGTTTGGATAACCACGGTTTCAAGTTACTAATGTTTAAACTTTCAACATTCACATTGTTGAATAAAAAATAATACTTACTGATGGAACCAATTTTTTATACCAGTTCAGTAAAGCATCAAGGTTTTCCATCATAGCCAACAATTCAAAAAACGATACACTGTAGCAAAGGGAGAAATAACAGGTTATCAAAACCCATCAACTTGAAGATGGAAAAGCTTACCGTGTAGTCTTATTAAATTTCTGTTTTGACTTCTCAAAAAGCTGCAAATAACTTAGAATAAAATCTTAATGCTTTGAACCTCAAAGAAAATGCAAGATACTGTAATATGAATTACTGAGTTTTCATCTATCAAAATTAAAATCACCTGCTGGTAAAACTTGACTTACAAATTTGGAATCAGATCACTGTTTGCTTCTTTCTAGAAACAGGCTCTCAATAAAAAATATTGAAGAGAAAGGGCCTTACATCATTTCTTCTTCCTTCCCTTTACAGTCCCTTCCTTTCTTATCCATAGGTGAAATTCAGAATAAGGTCCCTCCCCCATTTTTTAAAGACAAGCAAATACTTTGTTGAAAGTGGCCATTTCAAATGGTCGATGCTTGCTTGAGGAAATGGATAGGGTGCTTTCTAGGATGTCCTCTGCTACTTGTGGGCCTATCCTTGTCCTTCCAGGCTTCTGCAAGCAGCTGCGGGTCACCTAGATTTGAGAGGTAATCAATGCTTCACTGGGGGAAAGGGCACTGCCAGGAGCCTCAAAAGGGGCCAAAGTGTTAAGAGGCCTTTCTTGGACTCAGAGGTGTTAAGACAACTACTGCCCAGTGTCCAATCTTCCTTTTTTAAGGAGGACTGCTGAAATGGTGATGGAGGACGAACTACAAAGCACCCTAGAGGAAAAGATTATCTGCACTGGTCACTCTAGTGGATCTTTGTTAGGACCTGGATGTCAGGACCTGGATGGAGAGGGAATGCACTTATCCTGGCTCTCTTAAATCTTTTAGTGGTTTTTGATACTATTAACCAAGGTATGCTCCTGGACTGTCTACATGAGTTGGGGATTTGAAGCAAGGCAGAGCTACAGTTTGCCCATCCCAGAGTATAGAGGATGGCCTCAATGGACAGAGGGAAGATCCATTATCAAGGCAATTAACAGATAAATGTGGCTTAAGCCCATAAGAAGTAAGGTATTGTCAGCCTTACTTCTTATGGGCTTAAGCCACATTAAGACCAGGCAGGTAGACCAGGCAGAAAATATGACCAATTCTGCTTTATCGTAAAGCTACATTAACAGAATCTTGCAAGTCTGAAAGTACAGTTCTCCTGCCTTCACCTTTACAGCTCAAGAACTTAGGGAGGGTGCCTTTTGAGCCTCTTGCTCCACCCACTATGCAGCTGCAGGCTATGCTATCTCTTATCTAACCGTTCCTTAGGCAGCATCTCTTCCCCCCATCTCCCAAGGTCTTTCCTACACACCATTACAGATATTTACAAAAATGCCCAAAACAGGAGCCCCCCTATTCACATGAAGATAAAAGAGGAAGAAGGGGAAGCACATTCAGACTCCCAAGTTTTTGTTGCTATAGCCATTCTAATAAAAGTTTTAGGCCTAAGCAGTGTCTGTCTGTTTCTTGATCTGGTCTACCTTGTAGGGCTTTCTGTCTGTTCCAGTGTTATCTCCTGATGGGGAGACAAGGTCTGCAACTTTGGGGTCCTCCTGGACTCATGGCTCCACTTGAACAGATGAAGGCCATGGCCAGGGCATCAGTTGTGGGCCTTACCTGGGGTGGGAGGACCTTCTACAGTTAGTCATGCTCTCATCACTTCTGTGGACTACTACAACATGCTGTCCTTGGGCCTTGGAAGCTGCAGATGGTCTAGAATGCAGCGATTTGTGCACTTGCTAACATTGGGAGCATGTTATATCTGTGTTACGGCCCTTTACTGGTTACCAATAAACTTCTGGATGCAATTTAAAGGTCTGGTTTTAACTTATAAGGCCCTGTATGGCTTGACACCAGGTTACCTTCAGAACCATATTTTCCAGCTAAATCTGCCTGCCCTACACAATTGTTCCAGGAAAAGCAGCCTGTGGTTCCCCACTTTGGGGAAGTGAGGGGGGCTAAGACCAGAGGTGCTGCTTCTTGGTGGCAGCTCTGGCATTTTGGAATGGCTCCCTGGTTGAAATTAGATATGCTCCCTCCCAAAGTGTCTTCTGCAAACAGTGCTCTTTCACTGAACAGTTGGGGATTGATACTATTCATTGTTATTCTACTGTGTTTTATTCTGGATATTTTGTGTATGTCTATCTGTGAACTGCCAAGGGTCCTTAATAGTGAGATATAAATGCAATCAATCAATCAATCAGTCAATCAATCAATAATTTCAATAACATCCAGAAGTTAAGAATAAATCTATTTCCTTTCTAATCCTCCAGCCCAACTGAAGCTGTTGAAAATCCAATTCTGTAATTATGAATACTAAATAACAATTACTAGTAAAAGTTCTTGTGTGTCATATCTCCCAACATTAGCCTGTTCTCTGCTGTCTCCACCACTCTATTTAGCCGATAAGCAAGTTGAACATCCTTCAGTTCCAGGCACTGCAATAAAGACACAAAGCATTAATCCTTGAATCCAAGAAGTAACAGTTATTCTGCTACACAAGGCATCATAAACGCTTTTCAATTTTAACAACAAGCATGAATTCCTAATGCATGGTTTTATAAAAGGTTAGAAGTTAACAAGATATCTTTATGATCAAGGATAGGTGGCAGGTGAGATTAAAAGATTTAGATGAGATTGACATCTCATTTTCTGGATCAGCAAAGCAGCAAAAGTTTGGAGTCTCACATCAGATTCCAAGTTCTGCAAATAATTCCACAAATCTTCTCTGTTGCTGTAAGATTCTACTACATAGAGGACATACTCTTTAAAAAAAATATTTGCTTTAAAACAATACACACACACACACACACACACACACACTTATTCATCTCAGGCTGAAAGTTTCAACACATGTTTGTCCATTTAGATATTTGGCTCCCGCAAGCACAAAAAATAATGGATTATAGCAAGGAAGGAACCAGTTCCTAATGGAACAACAGTACAAACTACACAAGGTGCTTTTTAGTCTAGTTAATACATAGGTAGTCAGAAAGCTACTGAAATATACATTTACATTTCAACAATCAAATCCACTTACTGTTTTCATCGCACTTAGAAAGAAGTGGACTGGAAAGGAAGAAGTAGCCATTGTTAATTTTGGACATTCTCTAGCAATCCAAAAGAGAGGTTTCTTAGGGTTACTGAAAAAAATCCAAAGGGCTCAATAACAATTCGCCTTGTGTATCAAGCCAAAGAACTCTAGCAGGCTGCTTCTCAAACCAAGATGCCACCTAAAGCCATAATAACATAACATTTAAATATTTAACGCTTTGAGCAGCGAATACAAGTAACTGTAACCTAGTCAGGTGCTGAGGAGAGAACACTGGACACTAAAACTATGCTCACATATTGCATTACTCTGTTTGACTAAACCATAGCTTATTGTATTAACTACAACTGACTAGGTTTGTATCACATGTTAAGACTGGTTAAGATAAGCTGTAAACTATAATAATCATAAAATACAATGTTTGAATTCCCCAAACAGGCTAACCTTAAATCAAACAAGCCACTTTATGGCTAAGCATGTTGTGTAAACTCAGCATCCAGCAACAGGTGTTATCCTCCTATTGGCCAGGAAGCCAGGGATGATGTGCTGCTAGATCCCATCCAAATTCCAGTCTAGGGCTGAACCACTGAAGCCCACAGGGTAGAACAAAAGCGAGCTAGCACAAGTTGGAACATGGAGAAGAAAATGCCAGCACACTTATGGTTCTGATAAGAACTAGCCACAGTCTGATTAGGGAAAGGATGGGTAACCTTTCAGCAGCTAGGAGTTGAATTTGGATGGCTGAAGGCTGCAGTGATGACACTGAGGAGATGAGGAGAGGCCTGGGATTTCTGGGAAAATTTCTGGAGATATTTCAGTATGGTTTTGATCCATATGAATAAGCACACCGTGGATGTTTTCACTGTAGGAGCAATCTGAATTGGCATTCTTTTCCGATTCAAAACAGAGACCTGAAATTTTGTCTTCTGCCTTTGAAAATAATTCATTTTCCTTTCAAGGTCATGATCAGAGGAAGAGGGCCTTTTTTTTTTTCAATTTTGAAAAAGATATGGGTGAGGAGAAAGCATTTAAGAATGAAATTTGAGGAAAAGAGTTGAATCATAGTGCTTCACCATGGGTGTAAGCAGGAAAAAAGAACTGGTGTTATACCACCAGCCTAGGAACAAAAAGGTTAGACTATATGGTCCACATCAAGAATTAACTCATTATTCAATACCTCTTCATAACAAGTGGATAATTCATTGTTTAACATCCTAGTCTCTTTTCCAAAAATTTGCAGGAGGCATAAACAACAAATATTCTTGCACATTACCCACACAAATGATTTACATATTAACTGATTACTTTAATGGACACAAACAAATGCCAAGGAACACTGCTATCCATCAGCTGACCTCTCATATTCAGTTTCAAAAATTACTTTTGTTATACATTGGTCATGCACAATGCGAAACTGCCATGGAATAAAACAAGAAATACATACTATCATCCGGATCCTGAGGATAAAAAGCTTTTCCTTCAATTTCATTTATGATAGCATATAGCACATGGGACTGGGAATCAGCAACTCTGGCTATACAACAAAAAAACATCCAGAATCAAGTTTTCATTGAACTATGTTTTATTTAAACGGCAGGTAAAATATGTTTCTGTGAAAATGAGATTGGACTATGAAGTCAGGTGGAACAGATAAATTAAGTAGCAAATTATAAACAGATTGTTAGAAATAGTTTTCATAATGATTTTGCTTATGATTGTTGCTCATAATTGAGGAGACTGGTTGAGCTGCCTATCACTGCAAATTCTGACTGTACTTATTATGACTCAAGGTACTGAGACTTTAAAACTACAAACCAGTACATTAAACCAGGCATGGAAGTGCAAATGGACAGGTAGCAGGAGTATGGTAGAAGAGAAAGAGAGAATGGGAATACTCCTCTCTATGGTAAAGGCTAGTTAGGACACTCTAGCAAATATGGTCCATGTCCTATTTAATTTATATTTCATGAAGGGCAACATAAAGTTGTTGCTGGCACTGCATGATGTTGAATTTTGGTTCCAATTCAGTCCAACTTAAAAAATCACTAATATGTGTGCCCAGATAAATAACTTTTACTAGGCAGAGAAAATGTGATCCTGGTCAATTGTCTCTGAATCTCTCAAAGACTTTCAGAATCATGCACCATAAAATTCTGCTCAATATAATATAATTAAAGAGTCTCAATATTGCAACATTTTATTTTAGAGTTTGGTCTATAAAAAAAGATCCAAATTCAGGTGAAACAGAGAGAGATCCACACATTCAGAGCAAAACGTGAAGCAACTTCTATGCAGCAAAAGCCAAAAGAGAGATTATTACAACAGAACCACATTTTACCCAAATTCACAAGACATAAAAACAGATACTACGTACCAATTTTATGTGACATGCATAGCAAATGGTAATATGTTGCAAGGCTAGGTTCTGAAATAAATATAGATCAAATCAACATTTAACATAACTGATGTACAAAAATGTATTAAACTGTAGCAGATGCATGCAACTTATTTCATGCCAGTGGCAACACTTGATGTAATTAAAAAGTAAATATGACTATTCTCCACATACTTAGCAGTTTTCCCCTTCTCCCTTAAAGATATAACGGAGGCAACTTTTGAGAGGTCCTGGAGGACTACACTGAAGACTTTGGCAGAAGGCAGACATGCGGTCTCAGGTTATACGCTCATGATCTATATTAGGTTAAATTTGTGCTGCTGTATTTTCTGTTCTTACTGTCATGTAATACTGTTTTTAAGCTACTGTATTACTTTAAATATATATTTTTAAGGATTTTATTGAAGTTTATTATTACTACCTAATGTTTAAAAATGACTTTATAGGTTAAAATGGGTGAATAACTATCTAAATATAATCTACTCACAGGAGTTAGGGTTTAAAAAAATATCTTTAAAAAAATATCTCAATTAGGACTGTGTTAATATTACTACTAAGGTAAAACTACAGAAAATGAACATTGGATTAATCTTACAGATTGCAGAAAATTCTTACCTATATTTAGTGTTCTCATCTCATTCAAGGTCAGTCTAGCCTTAGCCCGGGGTACCTTACCACATTGCTTCAGTGCCTTCAGTACAGAATTAAAAGTTAGCAGATTTGGTTGTATATCCTGTTCAACCATCTGCCTCAGCAAGTCCTATTAACCAAAATATCAAGAATTTGATTTAACTTTTATGTAAAAACAATATTCCCATTCCTTCAGATTGTACATTTGTATCCTTTTCCCCCTACACAATTCCTTAACATTTGCGCATATATTTATTTAATTAATGCCATTCCAGAATACTATCAACTGTACCCTTCTGTATTTGCATCATTTAAAATATATTATTAGAAAGATAAAAAATAAAACTGGCACATAAAGTAGAACGGAAAAAATAAGCAGACCCCCCCCCCCACAAAATAGTAAATAAAACATGAAAATCACAGTCCTAAGATTATCATTTAAATAGCGAGTTTCCAAAAATACTACTCCCCAAAAAAGGTGTTTGCCTATAGCTGAAAGAAAAATAATGTAGGTACCAGTCAAGCCTGAGGAACTGCTCCACAGAGGTAGGAAAGGCCCTTTTTCTTGTAACTAGTCCCCTTGTGTCATTTGGAAAAAACTACATGGAAATCAAATTTCACTGAACCAATGGGTATTGCTTTAAATAAGCTTTTTTCAAGGTGTAGTTTTGAACAATATTTCCAGACTTTGTGGCAATTCTAGGTTTACTATACTTAGTAATTATAGAACACATTTCTTCTGTCTTAGGACCAACTTAGATAATCAAGATCTGCTATTATCACTATTTTTTTCCAGAAAAAAAGCACCCATTAAGGGCTGCTAATTAGTAAAAATATAGTAAAATATTTGAACACGAAAGTGCTTTATCAAGGTTAAGTACAGTAACATTGAGACTTTTGCAACAGCTTATCTGTTTAAACATCCTTGACATCTGTCACCCAACCCATAGCCCTCTTCTGCAGTCTCAAACTGAATTGAAAAGTAATTCCTCTCAATCTATTCTAATACATAGCAAGGTAATTTAACTTGTACACTGCCAAGAGTCATTTATAAGTTGGGTGATCTATAAATTTGATTTATACAAAAATAAATGCAATGACAATTATCTCATCAGAGATTCTGATGCAGGGTTTGACATGATGTATTTATTCTGTAGTCTCAGGCCACAGAATTTATTTGCTTCTTTGTTTATATAACTAATCATAATATAAGATGGGGGCGTGTCATGGGGAGGTAAAAAAAGTCATGGATACACAAGTGAAGCCCCTCCCCTTCTCACATGCATTGCATGCATATGACACATATTGGAATCTCAAAGTGTAATATATCTTTGTATTGTAATTATGTGTACTGATCATTTTATAGAAGTTACTGTCTCACTGATGAAGACTAATTAAAACATTAGAACTGATTACAAAGAATTTATGTAAATAGAAATCACCATAGAATATTAGAAAATGAGCAAATATAGATGATACCTAACTATAAATGTGCATTAATAAATAAATTACAATAAAAGGACAGGATTTAACTGTACCTAAATATTTACTATAGAAAAATTTGAATCAAAAATTTCTCCTTACTTCAATGCACGCCCATTTCTCAATGTATCTTTCCTTAACCTCTATAGCTGCTACAATAAGTGTATTGAAGGTGTTCACATCAGCTGTAACAAACAGAAAGCCAATTATCCCATAAGCAATAGCATAGACATTATTTGTAACATGGCTGAAGCAATCAGTATATCTACAGCAGCTCAGGGTAAGGCGAAATTCTCATGTGAGCCAGGCCCCAGAAAGCCAGCCACTTGCCAGCAATGGTGGGACACAGATAACTCACACTCAGCCCCCATGATCCAGCTGAGGTCCGTACCCCTGCGCCATTCATCATTGCTGCAAACAAATACTCCAATGGTCAGAAATTCAAATGACAGACCCAGTACTGTCTATAAAGGGGGAAGACACATATTAAGACCACAAGCAACATTGCCATGTTATCAGCTACATCTCTCTACTCACTAAAAGTATGGTCATTTATTTATTTGTCAAATTTATAGAGCCACCCATCTCAAACAAAATGACTCTGGGCGGCATACAATAAAACTTCCTATTAAAACATACCAAACCACTGAAAAACAATGAAAACAATGAATACAGATAAAAACAAGACCACAAGTGGAAGAATACTGCACATAATGCAGGCAACATGCGGGCTCCCTATTACCAGGGGATTCCCCAGGCTTGCTGGAAAAAACACGTTTTAAGGGCTTTCCGGAAGGCCGTGAGTGTTGGGGCTAACTTTACGTCAGGAGGGAGGATGTTCCAGAGGGCAGCTGCCACGGCAGAAAAGGCTCGCCTCCTAGGTCCCGTCAGATGGAACTTTTTTGCAGATGGGACCTGCAGCATACCTCTTCTACCAGACCTGATGGGATGGGTAAATGTAACGGGGAAAAGGCAGTCCCTCAGATAACCTGGCCCCATGCCATGTAGGGCTTTAAAGGTCAAAACCAGCACCTTGAATTGGACCCAGAAGTAAACTGGTTATCAGTGCAGTTCATGAAGTAGAGGTGTAACATGTGTCCACTTAGGGGGATACAAAACTGCCCATACCACTGCATTTTGCACCAGCTGAAGCTGTTGGATTCAAGGGCAAGCCCCATGTAGAGTGCATTATAATTCACCTGAAACAAGGCTGCTGAATGGCAATCTGTGGACGTAATAAGGGCAGAAAAGTATTGTTGTTTTGCTGTCCTTACCACCACAAGGTAGGCCTAAACAGGCTCTTACCTGTGTTTACCTGTGGCGGATAGAACTGCCAAGAATTGGACACAATTGAATGGATAGCAGCATCTTACCATCATCATTTGTGTTTGGTCAAGTTCATCCTTTGTTGACCTCCAGTGGTGCTCTAGATGTCTCTTCTCCTGTTTCATTTCCCTCAACTCCTCCGTAAACCACAGAGAGCAATGGGATTCATGGGAAGGGAGAGGTTGCATGGGCACAATCCAATCAAAGGCCAGAGCTGATTAAGGCCTCTATTGGACCGTGCAGCAGATCCTCAGGAACAACCCCCAGCTCCCTCTGGAACCCTTGCGGGTCCATCAGTCACCACAGATGGACTGATCTAATTGGTCCTGCCTCCCTGCAGCAGGGGCAGCAGTAAAGAATCTCATGGTTACCAGGGCGTGATCTGACCATGACAAGGGAGTCACAGCAAGTTCCTCCAATTTCAGATCACTTTGCCACTGCTCCAACAAGAAAACCAGATCAGGTGTGTGACCACTATGACCTGGGATAGGCTGATGGCTGTCACAGAGGCCATGAACTCCTGAGCCACATCAGACCCCTCTCCCAAGAAAGGCAGATTGAAATACCCCAGGACCATAAGCTTGGGGAATTCTACTGCCAACCCCAAGATGGAGTCAAGGAGCTCAGGCAGGGAGGTTGCTACAGAGCAGGGAGGCTGGTACAGTAGCACCAGTTCCAACTGATCTGTATACCCCAACTTAAGGACCAGTCTCACATCTGGCAACCTTTGGAGCAGTGCCCCTGAAAGCCATAAGAAACTCCCAGATGACACCCCCATCCCTGCCCTGGAATCTCGGCTGATGTTATACCCAAAACCCAACTGGGCACATTTCTGAGAGGGGAACATCCCCCCTCCAGACCCAGCCAGGTTTCAATAATACAGACTGTATTGACCAGTACTGACCATGACATGCCAGGTCAGCCCTCTCATCTGTGATTAAGTCGCAAATGATGGCGGCCTTATTACAGACTGACCTGGCATTTGGTAGCAACAGCCAAAGCCCAGGGCCTCTGAAGGCCTGCTGACCAGGAACTGGGATTGAGATCTGAGGGCCGGAATAAGGAACTGGTATGAGATACCAGGCTCTTGTTTCCTGAGAGCAGCCTGCCCCTGGTCCCCTGCCATACCTTCCCCTACCATGATGTTCTACCCCACTTCCAATCCTGAGACTCCCAAACACTTCACCCTGTACCCTCCAGCTCCCAAAACAGGGGATCCCATATCATTCCTTTATACTTATTTATTCTAAAAGAGCAGGAAGCTGAGTCCTCCAGGCACTTCAGTTAGAGCTTTCAGCACCATGGGGAGACTCAAACAAACCCTCTCTTTACACAAACTACCAACACTAGTCTCCCCCACCAACAGCTGTCACTAGGCTGGCCAGGGGTTGTCCCATTCCATACACCCCATACACCCCAACCCCCCTCCTAGCTCTCACCCAAAGGAGGGCAACTTACCTCAAGTATGAAACACCCCCCACCCTTCAGGCCTCAGCCTGGAACCCAGAAACAAAATGGCTTTTGCAAGGGAGATCCATGACAGCCCTAAGGCATCTGCCCTCCGCTGTTGCTGTCCCTACCAGCTCAACCGATCATAACCCTCCAGTTCCTCCACAAGGGGGAACTGGGCAGTCATCTGAGTCCTTTGCAGTCTTGTGTAGCCTCTTAATCCAAAGGCCATGTGAAGCATTGTGTCATGCCGCCATCTGTCCCTGGAGTAGCTGATCCATCCCACTGAGTCCCCCAAGAAGCAAAGCATTGCCACTTGACGTTGCAAAGATGCAACTAGGCGATGTCGCAAACCATGATCTGATGACTTTAGTTTAGACTTATCATTGGTTTGCTTTATTTCTCCCAAGGTTTGTTTAACATCTTCATTCACTTGTTTTACAAATTTATCTATCTTGTCAAATTTCTTTTCCATCCGTTTTTCAAGCATCTGAAATTTAATATCTAATTGTAAATGTTTGGGTTAGTTTAGTTCCTAAGTACTCAAACATGGCTTTAATCAATGTGGGAGGGACTGAGGTTTCTTCTTTCTCCCTCTTTAGTGGTTGTTCCATGGAAGGCTGTCTCATCTCTATTCGGGTTTTCCGTGTGGCCATTATAAAAAATACTGTGTAATATATCTCGTTATTTACCAACTACCACCACTAGGTGTCAGCAAACGTCTTCAACAAAGTCACTATCCACTATTCAAGATGTATTTTCATTCTCATCCAGAATCACTATATCAGCAAACGAAATGACTCAAACTATTTGGAAATTGAAAACTGAAATTTCCTCAAAAAGTAAATTTGAATATATTTATAATTCCCTGGAAAGTTATTGAATCTTTTCTCTTTTCTTTTTTTTCTTCTACACTATTAAAATTCTGATCTTAGATTTATTTGTCTTATTTTTGCTTTTATCCAAAAAGAAGTCCATTTTTATTTAGTTTAGGATCAGTTGCAATCCTCTGGGAAAGCAGATTAACACAAGGGGCAGCTTCCATCCTTTGCATAAGAAAGCTTAACACTTTTATAATTCCAAAGTGATTAAGAAACGTCAGTTGACAGCTCTAGTGACCATAAGGCTGCATCCCAGCCTGGAACAGACATCAATCCTCCTCCCCCGGCCACTCAACCCACAGGCTTGTCACAGCATTTGTCCATGCTTTACTTGCAAGGAGTGGTCGTGTAGGGCTCCAGAGGGAAGTTCTACATCCCCCCCTTTGATCTGGAGGGGTTTAGTTCGCTTCACCAATATAATGGTAAACGTTGGGGGCTGGAATGTCGTCTCCACCTGAGGAGCAGTCCTTATGGAGATGTACGAGCAGCCATAAACAGAACCGGAAGCCCAACGGCCGTAACTTTGAAGACTGGAAGTACCATTTGTTCAGCGCCATCTTCAGCAAACTTCGGTTGCTGAACGAATGGTCATTAAGCGAGGACTACCTGTACTACCAAACAACAATCTCTGTGTTACCATTTTCATGTAGCAGCTACAAACCAGAACCACAAACTTGCAAAGTTTAAGGGTGTGGTCAGTAACAGAAGAAGGACTAATTCTGCATGCACGGCCTATTCCCTACTTCTAGCTTTTCTCATTGGCACATTTCCTCTTGTGCAATAATGTCCAAAACTTACCCTTAAGCTTTTTATTCAACAAATCAGTGTACATGCTGAACGCTTTTTGGCATGCTCCATGCTGAAATGACAAGGAAAGTATAAAACATTAATATACTGACCTGGAGAAAAAAGAGAAGCAAAGTTGTTAGAAAGATTACAACTGTACCTTCACCATTCCCCTGATCATCGTACAATAGGAATATGCATTTTTTTCTGGCATTAGGTTAAATATTCTCTCAGCATTGTTGTTTTCCCTGGAATTTAGAAAATATGACATACCAATTGAGGAAATAAACTATGGTCTTTTCATGCCTATCTGGCTACTACATAGTTGGCATATATTTAAGCATAGCACATTTCTGTGCAGACTGGTTTGAAATATACAGTATTATTTCTTAAGATATAAAATCCTTGTGGATGAACATGCACTGCACCACATATCATAGCATCTTTGATGTACTTCACAAGTAACATATACAATATGTAAGTTGGTATGTGTGTACATAGATACAGATATCTGTATCTGTATATATAAAACCTGTCTTTTCATACACATTAGCATGTAAAAAAAATTTTTGTTACTACATTTATATCTCACTTTTCTTCTGAGGTTTAACATAAACATAGATTAAACCTTTTAGATAACTTGTCTAAAAATTTGCATTTGCTCACACACTGAGACATGGCATATATGTAGTACCTATGAAATATGAACAGAAATTGTTCAGAAATAGAAAGTGAGCCTGCTACACCACTGGACATTCAGTACACACATTTTTGTGACTATCTGTAAGCCACTCTTCCACACTTAAAAAACTTGTCTTATTGTGTCAAACGTATACTGTTAAAGCAGTTCAGACTGTTTTAGATGTTAATTTGCCTAAGGTTTCACAAGTTTTATCTATTGCAATCAATCTGACTATTTGGAAATCAATCCAGAAAGTTAATATCTAGGATTTACAATAAATATTAAACAGCATGCTACGGTTACATTAAGCTACTTTCATTATATAGCCTGAAGACGCCTTTCCTTCTTCAATATTTTTTTAAATAGGCTACTTAGTACATAAGAAATATCTTGGATTTCCAACTAAAATTCATGCAAATATACCCCAAGGCATTGCTGCTAGCATATTTCATACCTCCATGTAATTTGTTGGTATTTAGAAGTATTCCTTGCAAACTGCCTTCTTGGTAGAATTTCCTCCTGCATAAAAATTTCAAGTGTCAGCCTTCTAGCATGTGCATACTTATGCATAACAGAATTCTGTCTTAAACTAGGCTGTCTGGAATATCTTTATACAGACAGAGGTCAAGGTCCCACCATACAACTAGCTATTTCTATCTCTCTTGTCTCGACATGAAAAACTAGGACAAGGTGGCTGGCTCTTACCTCCCTTTCACAGGAATCGGAAATCTGAAACAGTTCTAACTTACCAAAGTACTGTTTGTGTTTATATATACAGTATATAGCAGATACAGCCTTATTCAAAATCCACCCATCCTTATTTACTTGTTTTTCCAGCTCACTATCTTTCTCCTGATCCGGTTCTCTATCTCCATAAAAACATAGGAGATCCAGAAGACTGTTTGATGTCTCCAGAGATATGCAAGTTCCTGCAAATGCGAAAACCACAAATTGTAAATCATAGCAGTTAGCTTATGTATATAATCATATCATCAAAATGAAACATCTTAATAGATTATTGAATGTGAAATGTCACAACAAACAATCAGGTAACAGAAAAAGCTTTGTGACAGTGGAATAAGTAAGCTATGCAAGTTACCTTTTCATCCAGAGAATATGCAAGTGAAACATCCTTCATAGCATGCAGGTATAGATTTTTTCAAAAGATCAGGTAAAAATAAAAGAAAGCCTAGCAAGCAAAGTAACAACATGCTTAAAAGGCTTTATTTATTTAACCATTTTTGTAGGCTGCCTGACTCACAAGATGATGAACAAGGAAATACAGACCAAAATAAAAAAAGAAGCAAATCTGTAATATTTTAAACAGCCATGATCATAAAACAAAATCAATGGTCAGCCAGTTATGCTACGTTTACATACACACACACACACACGTTATAGAGAGTATATATGTGTGCATGTGTCTCTGAGTGTATATATATATAAAAATGTATTCTTGTCTAATCAGTCAACCAACTTATACTTCATGGATAAAAAGATGATTTTGTGGTTGCACTGCCATGTAGTATGCCCATAATCAAACTAGTAACATTGCCAAGGCGGCTACTTTGAACAGCTTATAAATGCTCCATAGCATACTAGCAAAATTTTATCCTCAGATACTTCCAGTGTACTAAGTGTATCTTGGATTAGTGTAAAAGGCTGCTATGTTATGCTATTTTGGAAAAAAAAATCCCCACTATCTACTGCAATGAACAAAAAAGCAAAACCACCTGAAGGTGCAAGGAAGTATAAATCAAAGGATAGCTGAAATACTTTCAAAATAAAATGAAGTTAAGTCACTATCTCAAGCGTTTGTCGTAAGCTTTGTGAATCACAATACAATGAGCCCATGGATAAGGAAGAGGCCTATGTTCTGTCTTACAATCTAGCCATCTATTAACGCCATAACACAGTTATCTTAGAAAGGCGAATCATTCTGCTGCGGAAATGGATAACACTGTAGGTGCAAGTAAAGGCCAAATCAGATGGGCCTGAAACTGGTGCACAGAAGGGAGTGCAATTAACATTGTTTTATGATGCACCTGATGACCCAAAAATGAAGATACCAGGAATTGGAAGTCCAGAAATCCCAGAAATTGTGAACATTTTCATAACAGTAGTAGGATGTCAGAAGAAAATAAATGTATCTTATTATCAAGCATTAGCTGTATGAAGCACATACATTTTCCTAAACAGGAAAAAGTAAGTTGATTTCCCCCTTGTATTTACTTATTAAGATGAATGTTGAAGGCATGTAATGTCTGTCTGACCAGCACTTACTCAGCCATGAATTTATGGTTTACAGTTGATATAACTTACAGTTTCTCCTGTTTTATTGTAGATTTTATATCTATATTTAAGTTGAGGGAAAGATTCTGGGGTTTGACTGTTTTGATTTTTGTTGTAAGCCACCCTGAATTTTCAAAACATGGGATATATGATGATGTAGATGTAAATGTACACTAAATGTTTCAAGTTATTTTATTTAATCAATTCATATGTTGTTTACTATATGATATAAGACTGCCAGCTGAGTTTGCCTTGCCTTGTCCATTCTTTCAGCATAAATATTTTGTATCTTCCACAAATGTGATGAATCAGGCTGCTGACTGCATACCGTCCAATAAAACTTGCTGGTCTTTAAAGTACTTCAGTATAAATCTTCCAAAAGCTATGACAGAGTTTAGTTCTCTTATTTATTCTAAAAACTGAATAAAGATTTCAAATTGGTTTTGACTAGATAGTACCTACCCTTATAGTGCAATCTCATAGGCATTTACTCAGAAGCAAGTCCTGTTAAATTTAAAACAGCTTATACCCACCCAAATCTGTTTAGTACAACTGTTGCTTCAGGCTAATACCTGCTTGCAGAAGCTGATCATACATATTCACAGATGCTTTTACTTTTCTTAGCTGAATTAGATTATTTAGTGCAACCTCGCTCACTTCTTCAAGTTGCAACATCAACTTTTCTGGCATGAGACACTAAAGTAAAGGGAACAAAATAACAAAACACAATTATGTTCAAATGTTCTACAAAGACAGTGTTGTGCATTTAGCAGTGTGGAGGGAGGCTGGTAACTCTAAGTATTTTATAATTCTAAAATCTACTGTCTTTTTCCAGTGAAAAGGAGGATAGGATTCAGACTGGGAGCAGCAGCAAGAAGTTTCTTCTTTCTCAATTTTGATGGATGCACGTCTTGAAAATAGCAAGGATTATAGGGATAGACTTCTTGACTGGCCGTGGGACGTAGCCTCTCTGCCCAAAACTACCAGGATAACTGGAAACAGTAAGGTGTAGCTGGCAAGAGAAGTACATTATAAGCAGAAGTGTCAGAGTTTTTTCACTATTACTGCTTGCTCAGTTGTGTAATTTCCCTTTTGTTCACGTTCCTTATTCCTCTATTTGTTTGCTGATTGATTGCTCTTGTATGTAGATCTAGGACTCTTGTAACTTGGTTTGAGTATCTTAGCTTTCAAGTATTTGCTTCGTTGGATCTATTAAATAAAAACACTTTGTTCATTGTAATCCCATGACTTTTGTCAGTAAATGAGATTTAAACATTCTACAAAGCCACTAAGATCTCATTTTAAAACTAAAAAATATAGTAGATCAGAATTACATGAAGCAATGGAATTGCTAAACCATTATACTAGTTATGAGCATATTTAACAGAACTGGAACATCTCATCAAATACAAATAACAGAGGACATGGATTTTTGTATGTTTCATAGAGCTCCAAAACTGCATTTATTTAATACTACAACATTCGTTGGATGAACTAACATATTTTTGTTGATTTGGCATGGAATAACTATTCCTATAAGAGCAGATTTTCAAAAGTCTTAGCCACAAAAATGTCTTTCTATCTACACAGTGGTTTGAGTTTACATGTGCTTTTCCCCTGTGAATGGAATGCTGGGCCCCTAACTTAAAAAAATACGCCGAGTCAGGATGAAAATTAAATTGTATGTTACTTTTTTAACATAGCTAATAAGAATACATCAAGGAAAAAAAATAAATTAAAATTTGATATTAAACTACTTTACTCTTGAGTGGTCCCTTCCCAGTTACCAATCCTAATGTTCTCCACCACTAAGGAATTCCAGGAAATGAAATGACACCTAGAGTGGCAATGACAGAAGACTGAGTATGACCAAACTCAAGTACAGATCCACATTTGGACCTACACTCTGGCAATAAGAGCAGTGAAGCAGGCCTATCTCTCTTGCTATCCTATATATATTAGAAGCATTGGTTCATTCTTGTGACTTTTTCTCCTGCTTGCACGGCACAACAGGCTAAGAGTATGTTTTCGGGCAGGAGAAGCACATACCACCCGGACAGTTACTGTAACAGAACTGTTTGCTTCTGATCTTGCTGCATCCAATCCTCACTCCAACCCTAACCCTGAGACCAGACAGAACCAGTATTGTTGCAGGCCCTCCACACTAAAGGATAAGAAATGTGCAGCAAGTCCCTAACTGTAGCAGCTAGATCCAGCAAGTTCATAACCATTTAAAGACAGGAGAAAGAGACTGAAGATTTAAACCCTGGGGTTGCTATGTATAGTGGGCTGAATTGCTAGATTCCACAGCAGATGATCTTCTTCATTATTAGGGTTTCTTGTATCTACAGTAAAAGTGACCTGTCTATTCAAATCTTGTTCTTGACTCTTCCACTAGTGACTCTTGATTATTTGTTGAATTTCTAGGGAGACATTGCCGTGCCCTGAATGAAGCTCTGGCAATAATGCCAGTTTTATCCATATTCTTGAACCTAATTGTATGTAAGCAGCACAGTACAGATAACTCAATGTTATGCCAAGTTACACAATACTGTGTATTGAGCAAAGAGAGCAGGCAGAAGACAAGGATGAGCTTAAATACCCTTACTCTAGTACAAAACAGGGAATTGTGCCTGAGCACAGCAAGCATGAATGTAACTGATTCAAGTTCTTTTGACTGTATTCAAGCAGTGGATTAATTGAACAAGTAATGTTATTCAATGCGTATGAAATCTATCCTTGTATGCTAATAAATGTGCATTATGTATGAGATAAACAGTGTAACATTTACCTGAATGTGAGGTTCAGCATAGTCTTTCTCAAAAAACTCAGGATGTGTGTTAATGATATGTTTGGCTGCATTTTGTCCTGATGCTTTTGACATGGAAAAGAAATGCTGTGAAAAGAATATACCTTTATTTTATAGAAAGTAATCATATGTAACGCTTTCTTACATCATACTATCACTTGTATACTGCCAGAAGTCCTTTCAATTAAGGCAGTAAATAAGTAAACCCTATAAACAAATAAATTGTTCTTACTAACTTTAAATAAGATCTTCTATTAAGCATCCAATTTTTTAATGATTATTTTTCTTGGTTTATAATATGTGAAGTTTAGTAAGCAACTCTGCATATGACACACAATGGGGAAGTTGGATGTAGCTTTTCCCTTTCCAGCTCAGCCTCAATTATTAGTTTATCAGTGTGCAAAAATAAAGGAAATTACAATTCCAAAAGAACACTAGAAATAATGGAATTAGTCTGTGCTCTTCCATGCATACAAACAGTAATGATTGCAAATCAAACTACTGTTTTGTTTGTTTCTGGCAAATACAGTTTTGGAAGAGTTACTTACATGCTCTAAAGAATTTCTGGGGATAAGATAAGGATCATCTTGAAACCTGTAGTGAACAGCTGTAATATCCTGCAAGGAAGAGGAAATCTGTACATTAAATGCTTTATGTACAGATTCTGTTCAAATGCACAAAAGATTCATCTTTCTGTAGTACTGAGATTAAGACTATCAAAATAATTTAGTTAATACTCGAAAGCTCTTTTATTTAAGAAGTCATGTTTGAAATTTGAAACTTATTTAGCAGATATATCATACTTTTTTCTCTTCATATAATTACATGAAGTACTTTGGGGAATTGCTAAACCATTATACCAGTCATGAGCATACTTAACAGAATTGGATTTTCGCATCCAAAGGAAAATCTAATAAAGTTAATTTCAAAACAAAAAACAAAAGTTAACATTAAAGGCAACATACAACACAGATAAAAATATATTTTGCACTCTATAGGGCATTTTACATCAAAAGAGGACTAGTAATGTAATGAAGGTTTGTACTTACCCTGTTAACAGTTGATGCAAGTGTCTGAAGAACTGCTGATTTATCCCTAGTTTTAAGCAAAATGTGTTAAGTTTAAATTTGCAATATTATTTTTAATTTGCAACAAAAACGATGGTGCAGTTTACTGAACAAAAATGTAAAAATAGATACAAAGATCTAAAAGAATGCTTCAGAACCCTACACATTCAATTCAACTGGCAAAAAACAAGCTTATAACATGAGAGTGTTTATTCTATAACAATACATTATAGCGTCTTTCCAAACGGATTATTTGGGATGGAAAAGAGTTTTGGAATCAGTTTTACAGCTGTTCTAGTACTTCCTAATTTGTCAGCTGTGGACTTAATGTGCTTTGAGATCTTAATTGTCCACTATATTTTTCTACAACTACCTAAACTACTGGGGAAACATGTCCAAGCAGTGGAGTGTCTGCAGGTGGTATCTCACTTGTTCCTTTTCCTTTCTCCTAATTCTAGAAACTGATGAAGTTCTGAATTAATGTTTTGATGCAATAAGAAGGGGTTGACTGTTAACAAAATGAATCTTTATTCAGATAAGAGGAAGTTTCTTAATTAATTAAAAATATCTTAATTAATTAAAAATAGTACAGATTTTTACTTAAAAAGCTACACTTATGTTCAGAGAGTACTCAGGTCATAGTTGTACATACTATGCCAGAGAAATGACACCTGCATCCACAGCAGAAATGCTGGAGAAGGCCTGGCTATGGTAATACACAAGACCGCATTTGGATAGGGAAGCATGGCTTATGGTTAGGCACGGGCTCACATTCTTTTTTGAGCGGTAGTACTTTAAAAAGAGGGGAAAAACTGCAAGAAGCTATCATGCTACTTTGGAACATGGTAATCTCACAACCAAATATTTACACATTGTTTGCAAATGTACACTTTAAGCATTTGGGGTGGCATCTAGGAATATTCTTCCTGTAGTAAACACATATATCCTGAAGCAATGGACGATGCGACAAGCCTGTTTCCCAAAAAATGTTTATAACTTCAGCTGATCCAGAATGTACTAACAGATGCCCTGATAGCTTATGTGAAAATTTCAGAGTAATTTCACAAAGGTTCAGTCTCTATTTTTAAAGTTTTATACCATTATTTATGTTTATGGGATTATGGCTATTTTAAATTTATTATAAGTTGCCATGGAAGGGTAGTAATACATCTCCTGAAAAAAAAAATGAACTGAAAAAACTCACCAGTTTTTTTTTCTTGGAAGGAAAATACTTTCTTCTGAAATTATGAAAAACAAAAACAACTATAACCAAATTATTAAACTATATACATCCGGAAAACATTCAACTATTAAAAATTTAATTATGCATGGAATTAAAATAGTCACTAAGCTTGACTGTATCAGAAGCAAATTTTGCAGATAAAGAAGCTGTTCTATCCAGGCTCACTTTATCCAGAAACAAGCCCAGTTTCTTCAAGTGGAATTTATTTTTACATAATTATACAATGGATAACATATATTAAGAATGATAAATTTATTATTTGCAAATATGCATTTTAAGAGTACAAGCATAAACACAACAAAATATACCTTCCAGGATGGGGGATTTTTCCTGAAGGGTTGCATTTTCTGAATAGTGCCTAAGAAAATCAAAAATTATATGGATAAATGTATACATATATATTGCATACATAATTTAACAGCATTCTCTTGAATACATAGCATTATGAGACATTATATAACACAAAACAAAGCATATTTATTAGATTTATATTTCACCTTTATTTTTTAGAATTTAAGGTGGCATGCAAAATGCTCCCTATTTTTCCTACACCAATAACACCGTGAGGTAGATTGAGCTGGGAGAGAATGATTGGCCGAAAGTCATGTTAAGTTAAAATCAAATCATCTTATGGCTGTAATGTATGAATCCAATCTATTTCTGAAAAAAAAAACTATATCTCAAATAGAAAGCAAGCAAAATGTTGGCTTTCTTGAGGTAGGTGTTTATAATTTATTGAAAGTGCTTCTAGCAAAAATGATTTCACCTAGTATCCGTCAATAGACAATAATTATTAGAAAATCAAGAGACACAGAAAGAACTTTCTCAGGTGAGATGTGTACCAGCTACTCTCAGTCACCCTCCAGTGTTGGAAAGTGCAATTTAAGCCAAATTATATAATCCTCTGCTAAGTGCAGGAATCAAGATTAAAGCATCTCAGATAGGAAGCTGTTTATCCTGTGCTTGGATACACTGAGCAGTGGGGACCCACCACTTCTCTGGATAATTGGTTTTTATTGTGGGACAGCATTTCCTAACATACGGCCAAAATTATTTACAATAGGTGGCATAATATGTTATAAGGCTTTATGCACGCCCAAGAACCATTGGCTGTAGTTTTTAAGAGCTCTTCCAGTTTTAATTTTTAATGTGACAGAAGAGGGGAGACTTATTCAGATCAGGGGTAGTAATAATTGTACTTAGTTTAATTATAAATTTATCTACCCCCACACAATTTTTTCTCCTACGTACCCCAATTTTTAAAAAGCACTGTAGTATGCCCCAAAAAAAGAAACACATTTGCTTTCGAGCAAGGTTAGATAAATCTTACAGTACAACTTTCTGACTCTCTTCTGTTGGGTCAGGCCGGCCAAGGTTTGTAAGCCGCTGAAATTCAAAACGCCCAGAAAACTTCAGATTACCTACCCTTAAACTAATATAGTAGGGTGCATACAATATGATTATATTTACAAGGAAAAAGCAGTATTAAGAATGATTTGCCATCCCAACCTAGTTCGGGCATTTCAAGATGATCAAACGGTTGCAATCCGATTCATCAGATTACTGCTGCAACCTTGTACAGTACCTTCAAACTGCCCATTTTCCCGCCTCACATTTCCAAGTCATTCGTGGGAGTCCTGCTCTCACATCCCCACCCAACGTACCTCTCACCCCCTTCCCTAAAGGAGCCAGACGCCCCCGAACCGCCGAGTCTTCTCTGGAACAGATCTCGGGTGGGAAACGAGCTCAGACGCAGCCACCGTGCCGCCATAACGGAACGGCCGTCCGCCGCAGAAGACGGGAAGAGACCGGAAGCGGAAGCCGTAATCAGGAACATCGCCGCGCGCACGCCGTGCACACGCGCTGGCTCCTTGGTTGCTAGTCTCCGTCGGGTCAGTGGTAACCTGGCCAGCATTGCTGAGGTCTTTTGGTCGGGGTCATGGCGGCGAAGGAGGTGCCGTGGCGGCGCCTGACGGGGCTGTCGTTTGGAATGTATACGGATGCGGAGATACGGTAAACTGGGAAGGGCACGAAGGATACATTGCTTGAGGCAGCGATCAGGCGTTCGCTTCCCCGGGAGTCCGCCCACATTGAGCTCTGGGGGACTTAGTTAATGAGGCCGCGCTTTACATCTTTCGGCCTCTGAGTATCAAGATGTTTGTTGCTTTTCTAACGGCGAACTCTGCTGCTATCCGATTCGCAAAGTTTTTGCCTTGAAGTTTCCAGTGTTCCTAATTTCAATTTCAGTGTTCTAGAGAGCCTTCTTCAGCATGGTGCCCCACATTATGCTCTTCTTCAGTAGCATGTTGAGGGCCAGCTGATCTAAGAAGCCCAAAATGTGGCACTGTATCATCAGTTGCTCTACATTGTCTATCCTTGTGGTTTTCTTGGTAAAAATAGGATTACACTGATGACTCTGGCCACCTCTGTATTAGATCTATCCCTGTCCTGGGTGGTAAAGGCCATCTGGGAGGTGACATGCATTTTGTTCCATGTGGTAGTATATGCTTCTTTGAGGGAGAGTGTAGTGCCTCCTGCCTTAAAAGAGGTGGTGATATACCCCCTCCTCAAGAAACCTTCACTGGACTCAGCTGTTCTGGACAATTTTAATTCAGTCTCAGACCTTCTCCTTCTAAGGGAAGGTTGTTGAGAAGGTGATTGGGTTACAGCTTCAGAGGGTCCTGGAGGATATGGATTATCTAAACACTTTTCAATCTGGTTTCAGACTGGCTCATAATATTCAGATGGCATCATAGTTAGGAATGCCTGTGTCTGCAAAATTGTGAACAGAGACAGGGTCAATTTACACATAGTATTAGCCAATTCTGGTGAAAATGTGTACAGTGAATGTTAAAATGTATATTTTCTAGCGATCTAAAGCTCAGTTCTTGAAACTATTGAATTTGACTCTTGTTTTCTGTATTTCAGTACAGAAGCTTTTTTTTTCTTGATACAAGCTTTGAGTCGATAGTTATATACCCAGCTGTAGGATAGTTCTAAGCAACAAATCCGCTGTAAACATTCAGATGTAAAAGTTTGCAACATATAATATTTGCTTTTCTTTAAGTAGTCAAAAAAGAGCATGGATGCGAGTTCTCTGACAGTTGCTATTCTGGATAAAGAGTTTCTGAGTTTATAGTGAAAGCTGTAAAACTTCTGGGAAATTAATGAACGTTGAACTCTTTATATTGTAAAATGTAATTATTAATTTCAAGGATTTCTGTGACACTTTCTTTGCTTTTTTCCCCCTTTGCTTTCACATTTAGGAAATTGAGTGTAAAACCTATAACCAATCCTCTTTTTCTTGATAATGCGGGTACTCCATCCCCAAATGGACTATATGATTTGGCTTTGGGTCCACTTGACAACAAGGAAGTGTGTGTTACTTGTGTGCAAGACTTCCACAACTGTCCTGGTCATCTGGGCCACATAGAACTACCCCTCACTGTTTATAATCCTCTCTTCTTTGATGTAAGTATGTTAAGCCATAGTTTCTATAGCATGGAATGAATTAATAGCAATGAATTAATCACTGTGTTCAGAATTTATAAATAGAAGTATTAATAGTTAGTAATAATCTAGAGTGACCTTTTCAGTCTGTTGTAATGATTATAACAAAATAATGTTGGCACAGTATTAAACACATGTGAATTAGCAGGATAATAAAGTGACTGTTCTTATTTTCAGAAATTATTCCTTCTGATGCGAGGTTCCTGTTTGAACTGTTGCCATCTAACATGTCCACGTGCTGCAGTTCATTTATTACTAAATCAGCTAAAACTGTTGGAAGTAGGATTGATTCAAGAGGTCCATGATCTTGAAGCAGTCTTGAGTAGGGTAAGTTTTACTTTGCTTAATTTGTTTTGACAGTATTCCATAGGTTTGTAATATAATTATTCTTTCAGTTTTTAGAGGAAAGCTCAGACGTAACTGGTGTTGATGTTGAAGAAGTATTAAGTTTGCACACACAGGATATGCTCCAAAATAATCAGCTCAGAGACTACAGTGCACATGTAAGTAAGAAGAATCAATATTTTATGTGGTTGTTTACATTGCTTTTAATGAACAGCTTCCTCTCACTTCTCATTAATTTGTGAAATCTGTGGTTCTTTATGAAAATGTCATTTGTTCTGGGCTTACTATATGGCATTTTTCTTTAATATTCTGAGCTAAAACTGTTATTATCTAACTTCCTCTGTCACAAAAGAAATGCAATATAATTACAGGCTGCTCATTAAAAAGAAAATGGTTTTTTTTTATCTGCAGCTAGCAAATCCTGGATTCATTCTTCCTGTTAGCTCTTTAACGATGTATCATTTGTGAGGGTCACTGTGTGTACTTCCTAGTTAGTGGGGTGTAGGCAGGATATGTTGGTTTGCTAGATAGTGTTTAGACTAGAAATCCTAGCTTGTATAGAAGTGTAAGTATGCTTGGGATAAAACTGAACATTGGTTATACTGGTATATATTTGAGCATTTTGGCTCAAATGTCAAAACTGGCCTTACTGTTAGCAAGGGTATATCTGAGCCTGGCAACCTAGTTTATATCCTCTCTAACATATTAAAAAGTGTTACATGAAAGTCTGGATTGGTGGTGGAGATTCATATCTATTGGTATCTGGTGATGACCGTAGCATATGGACGATTGCAACCTGGAATGTAAAAGAAATAAATAGTAAAAAAAAAATGAAATAACAAATGAGATAACTGAAGGAAAATTAGATACATTGTACATCTATAACACTAAGAGGAAGTGGAAAGATGTGATAAATTTGAATGAAGGTGGTCTGATCTTGTCAAGTGGAGCTGAAGGACAGATACGTGGAAGTAAAGGTAATATATCATGGAGATAAATCATATGTGAGACTAAATGGAAAGCTTTGTGAATAGTTCAACGCTGAATAGGGAGTAAACAATGAATGTTTGCTGCTCCCTTTAATGTATAAATGGATAAATATGTAACAAATACTTGTGACATTGGAGATGTCTAAAATTAAATCACTGCAGAGTGAAATTTTAAATGAAGTTTGCTCTTGGTAGTGTCCACAACTGACCATACTTAAATTTGTGTTTCAAATTTATACAAATATAATTTGTATAAATATCATACAAATATAATTTCTAGAACTTTGCTTTTCATTCTCTTGATACAGGTAAAAAATGTATGTGAGTGTCGAAGTAAACTTATCTCTCAATTTTGGAAATTACACATGACTTCAAAGAGATGTCCGAACTGCAAGTAAGTTTTTTTTCCTGGGCATTTTTATTCCTCCTCCCTTCATCCCAAGATTAAAAACTACTAGGATCTCTCTTCTCATTGGTTAATGTTTCTCTTTTTTCCCCCTCCATCTTCAAGAGCAGGAAGATCACTTGTTCGAAAAGAACATAATAGCAAGCTCACTGTGACTTATCCCACTGCCGTAATTCAGAAGTCAGGCAAACAGACTGTAGTGGAGGAAATAGCAAGTATGTGTATTCTGTTGAATATTACACACACACAGGTGCAAAACTTGATACTGAGAAATATTTTGTTACACTAGAACAAATTGTTATAGAATATGCCATGTGGATCTAGATACAGCCTTCAAACATTTCAAATCTGCTTTGTGTGTCTGGGTTAAAAATTAATTGATTGAAATTTACAGACACTTTAATAAAAAATGGCTTTGTAAACTATTTCCAGACACAACTGTGTCTGGGCTTTCTCAAATTTAAGAGTGAACACACAGACCTCAGTGGAATTAAAACTAGTCCTAAATCCCATAGATTTGCCGTCAGTTTACTCTTAATTAAAGCTAACTAAGTGGTTTGACTCACACATAAGCCATGTTTTACAAACCACAGTGGCTGAGGTCACATGTCACAGTAAGCCAAAGCAAGCACACTAAGCAGCAAATTGTCTGAAGACAGCCAAATCTTAATTCATCCAACAGTTATTCATGAATTTAGAAGCTTCTCCATGTAAGGAAAGTACATTTAACTGCCTATGTTTGCACATCATGCTAACCCATAACATGAATTATCTGGTTTTGTTTGACATAGCATATGAACCATATTCTTTGGATTATCATGATGCTCAAATCCAGACAACTGTCACATATTCACAATAAATAAATTAGCCACAATAAATTGAAAATGTGGCTTAATATACAGTCATGTGAAAAAATACACCCTCTTTGAGTTCTGTGGTTTTATGTATCAGGACATAATAAAAATCATCTGGTCCT